CATTAAAGAAAATCTTATGGAAACCATGAATGCCACATTCTCTATAATAAAGAGGAAAGGCACCATCCGGTCTTTTATCAGTGCACTGTTTTAAAACCTGCCTCTGATGGTTTGAGATGCATTGGTACCTCTGGCATGGGCAGTTTTAACATCTTTCAAGGCACCGTCAATGCAGAAAAAGTATACAGTAGTCCCTCGCTATTTTGTGGTTTGTTTTTTCTCTGACTCGCTCAATCTGGGTTTTTCAAAATAAGATTGGACATGACACACAGTTGGCTGATTGATGAATGAGCAACAAAATTGGCATGGATTTTTAAAATTTAAAATAAAGTATGTAAAATTATTTAGCACTTGTTTGCAGCACACAGCTGTGGGAGAAGCTTCCTCCTGCAGCTGATCAACTGATCTCCATGCAGAGTGGAGAAGTGGGTGTGGCCGAGAGTGCAGCCGAGGCAGAGAGTTGAAATCATGACAATCTAAGCTCTTTTGGAGCATTTAGAGTTTAGAATCATTTTTTTTAGAATATTGCAAGAGTGTGAGAAGGGTTTAAAACACACACATACATATATACATATATAATATATATTAAAAAAATATCTATATATAATATATATAATACATGTACACAATACATATATATTATATATATATATATATATATATATATATATATATATATATATATATTTATATATATATAGTAAAATAAACTACTACTTACTATTTGTACTACTATTTGTACCACTATTCCTACTTCACAGTTTTTCACTTATCGCTGGATTTCATGGTACAGCTCCCCTGCGATAAAGGAGGGACTACTGTACACGTTTTAGAACAAATTCCCATCCAGATGATGTCTTTTTTAGTTATGACTGTCTATATGTTGGTAAGACAGTGGCAAACAACTATTCTGCATCCATTACAGTGGTGACTGAAAGTTTGTGAAGCCTTAACAATTTCCTGTATTGCTACAGAAATATGACCTAAAAAATCATAAGATTTTAGAGACCAGTTTGACAAGACTGTCACCAAGGAAGAGGGCTGGCAATGGAGGAGGGACGTACCAAAGAGACCATTTTATCACAAGCAGAACTGGTTTGTTCCACTTTGGAGTAAGCTGTTGGGGGAAGAATCAGTTTTGTTGTGTGTTTCCTTGACTGATGAAGCCTTCCGGATCGAAGGCGAAACGTTTCAGCACAAGTTGACCTGACTGAAAAATGTTGGATTTTATACCTGGATTATTGAGCATGGACTTTATTGTTTTCAAACAGTTTGACAAGACTGTCAACAAGGAAGAGGGCTGGCAATGGAGGAGGGGCGTACCATATTACCGGGCGTACACCCCCCCCCCCCCCCAATGAACTTTATTCTTCTTGAACCATTCTTTGGTAGAACCACTTGTGTGCTGAGCATCATTGTGTTGCTGCATGACCCACTTTCTCTTGAGATCCAGTTCATGGACAGATGTTCTGACATTTTCCTTTAGAATTCTCTGATATAATTCAGAATTCATTGTTCCATCAATGATGGTAAGCTGTCCTGGCCCAGATGCAGCAAACCAGGCCCAAACCATGATACCACCACCACGTTTGGGATAAGGTTCTTGTGCAGAAATGAGAGTTTTCATTTCTCCAAACATAACATTTTTCATTGAATCCAAAAAGTTCTATTTTGGTCTCATCCGTCCACAAAACATTCTTCCAACAGCCTTCTGGCTTGTTCACGTGATCTTTAGCAAACTGCAGATGAGCAACAAGGTAATTTTTGGAGAGCAGTGGCTTCGTGCTTTAACCCTGCCAGGCACACCATTGTTGTTCAATGTTCTCCTGATGGTGGACTCAAGAACATCAACATTAATGTGAGAGAGGTCATCAGTTGTTAGAAGTTACCCTGGGATCCTTTGTGACCTCGCCGACTATTCAACGTCTTGCTCTTGGAGTGATCTTTGTTGGTCCATCATTCCTGGGGAGGGTAACAATGGTCTTGAATGTCCTCCATTTGTACACAATCTGTCTGACTGTGGATTGGTGGAGTTCAAACTCTTTAGAGATGGTTTTGTAACATTTTTCAGCCTGATGAGCATCAACAACTCTTTTTCTGAGCTCCTCAGGAATCTCCTTTGTTCGTGCCATGATATACCTTTGTACTTCCACAAACATGTTGTAAAGAACAGACTTTGATAAATCCTTGTTCTTTAAATCAGACAAGGTGCCCACTCACACCTGATCATCAACCATTTGATTGAAAACACCTGACTCTAATTTCACCTTCAAATTAACTGCTAAGCCTGGAGGTTCACATACTTTTCCACTTGCAAATATGTAATATTGGATCATTTTCCTCAATACATTAAAGACAAAGTGTAATAGTTTGGTCTCATTTGTTTAACTGGGTTCTCTTTATCTACTTTTAGGACTTGTGTGAAAATCTGATGATGTTTTAGGTCATATTGCAGAAAGACAGAAAATTCTAAAGGCTTCACAGACTTTCAAGCAGCACTGTAAAATGGTATGGCTTCATAGTAGAAAAGTTCAGGTGCTGAAATTGCTTGCCTGCAGTCCAAAACTCTCACCAATTTAAATAATTTGATGCATCATGAAAAAACATCGAGCAGAAAAGCCACATGACTATCAACTAGCTTGAAGTACATATCAAACAAAAATGGGACAACATTTTGCTCAGCTGATCTTAGTGCCTGGACATTTAGATAGAGAAGATAGAGAACTTTACTAATTGGCTTTTATGTATGTGAATGTTTCTGTAAAGTGCCCTGAGACAACTTTGTTGTGATTTGGCGCTATAGAAATAAACTGAATTAAACATTTACAGACTGTTGTTAAAAGTGGAAGGACACTTCACAGTCGTAAACATGGCACAGTCACAACTTTTCTGAGATGTGTTAATGACATAAAATTCAAAACAATAGTCTTTGTTTCTAAAAATGGTAGTTTCATATGTTTACATTATTCCATTATAAATAAAATATGGGTTTACAATATTTGCAAAATAACCATACAGCCATTTATACATACAGTACATCCAGTATCTGCCACCCATTCCAGCCAGACTGCAGGGAAACCAGCTTGAGTAGAGAGGCCCAGACATCTCTTTCCACGGTCACCTCTTCCAGCTCTCCTGAGAGAATGCCAAAGCATTACCAGGCCAGCTAAAAGACATACTCTCACCAGCATGTTATGGGTCTTTCCCAGATCAGGCATCTGAACAAAATGCCTGAACCACCTCAATTGGCTCATCTCAATGTGAAGTAGCAGTGGCTCTACTCTTTCTCCAGGATAACTGAACGTCTCACCCTAACTCCAAATTGGAACAAACCAGTTTTGTTGGTGCTAAGATGGCCTCTTTGGTACGCCCCCTCCTCCATTGCCGGCCCTCTTCCTTGTTGACAGTCATGTCAAACTGGTTGAAAACAACAAAGTCCATGCTCAATAATCCAGGTATAAAATCCAACATTTTTCAGTCAGGTCATCTGGACAGTTTCTTTGTTTGTGCTGAAACGTTTCGCCTTCGATCTGGAAGTCTGATGAATTGCCTGACGACATTGGCTGATGACATTACCTGACAAGATTGCTAGATGACATCACTGGTTAAGGTCAAAAACACCCCACCACCGCTATGAGCAGAGTTAGTAAAGTTCTGCTTTCCCTGCCTCAGTCACTTGATAGTTTGCCAGAATCCCCTCAAAGCTGATCAAGAGTCTCTATCTAAGGTCTCACTGAACTCCTCCCACAACTGAGCCTTTGTTTCAGCAGTAACCAGGGTTGCAGCCTGCTTAGTTTAGTAATATCCCTGAGCTTCCTCTGGGACCCTACCAGCTAACAAGGCTGATAGAACCCCTTCAGCATGACAGCCTCCTTTACTTGGGGTGTTCGTTACAAGGTTTGAGGATGGCCACCACACCAAGACCACCTTGTGGCCTTAGCTCAGTTCAACCACTTTGTTAACAGAGGTGTAGGACATAACCTACTCAGACTCTATCTCCTTTGTCTCTTCAGGATTGTGGTTGAAGCTCTGCCAGAGGAGGGAATGGATAATATTTCTGATGGGGTCTTCTTCCATGGGTTCCTTCACTACATGTTTGGGTCTACTGGGTCTGTTTAGCATCTTAACCTGCCATCTAATCCAACTTGTGACCAGTTGACAGCTCAGCTCCTCTCTTCACCAGAAAGTCTGAAATAGATGGTGACAGATCAGATGACACTAATACAAATGCTTTCATTGATCAATGACCTAGGGTGTCTTGGTGCTTTAGACACCCTTCTGTTCAAATGTGGTATTTGTTATAGACAAACAATGAATAGCACAGAAGTTTAACAATGTAACTCCCCTTCTAGTTCAGATCAAAAAGGCTATTCCTCCTTATCACCCCTCTCCAGGTTACATTGTTGCTACTCATGTGGGCTGAAGTCCCCAGGTGGGGCATCTTCTATAGCCCCTCCAAGGACTCCAAGAAGGTTGAGTACTCTGAACTTCCATTTGACACAGCCACAAACAACAGTCAGAGCCTATTCCTCCACTTGAAGGTGCAGGGAAAGTACACCAGATTGTTTCCTTTCACCTTGGGCCACTCCAGCGTGGAATAACATCCCTACCCTCTCAAGGAGATTGGTTCCAGTGCAAACATTGCATTACATTTTTATTTACATTTTACACAATGTCCCAACTTTTTCAAAATTGGGGTTATATTTAGTAAATATCTGTTTTAAATTACCTCTTTGTTTGTCTTCTTCTTTTAAACAGAGATCGTTTGACGACAAGGGATGGAGCAACTCGATTCAGCCATCCTCCTGCCACTGCTTTATTTTACGGCTTCCTGACTTAAACCTCTGCTGTACTAACAGGAACACCAACAGCAAAAACGAAAACCTAAAAGTCTGTTTGAGATCATATGCCATAACCTGGCTGAGAAAAGAAAGCTGTGATTAAGAAGTGTGACGATCTGGACACCCCTTTAGGATCAGGAGCCTCAGGGTGTGTCTGCCATGAAGCCTTCAGTCTATGCTGGTTATCCCTCTGGGCTCCTGCTAGTCCTGATGTGCTGCCCCCTACTAGGCTTTGTCGAGTCTGCCAGCAGCAACAAATCTGGCAACAATGGGCACCTGCACCTACGAGAAACTGACCCAGAGCGCTGCATGAGGCACCATTTTGTGGAAACTATCACACACCCAGTTTACAAATGCAACTCCAAGGTAAAGCAGTAAAAATATACACAAACACACATTGTAATGGAAGCCTACTGTATTTTCATCTAATGCTGATTTCTATCGCCAGCTGTGAAGGATGACAATAATGTTGTTGCCTGTGTTTATGCATGTGACTGTCTGTTACCAAAATCTCATATATTGTCCTAAATTTTGATGCGTTTGTTGCCAAGACTGATTTACAAAACATTTTAAAGGTTCTAACAAATTGCATATGATGTTTGTTTAAAATTTTGTCATTACACACTTTGAGAAAACCCTCCTTGCTGATCGGCATCTGTGGCCAGTTTCTTCGGATTGGTTGCGGGAGCTCCTTCTTGCCCACAGCCATCAGCATCTATAACAACTCTAAAGAAACCAGGATGATGAGTTTTTTCATTCATTCAATCTTTATTCATACATGTTAGTCTCATTGAACCATGAGGACTCATTTACAAGAGAGACCTGTTCCAGACAGAATATATAAAGTACAGACAACAATAACAATAAACAATAACCATAAACTACTGTAAAATGTAGTTAAAATAAAAGTATTGTTATAAAACAACATTTAATTGTGTGAATCGTATGAAGCATTCACACAATTGTGATCCATTTGTCTTCCGTACATTTTTCGGAATGATTCTTTTCCCGCAGTTTTGAAGCAATTTCAACAAATCATAAATCAAATTGTTCAGCTCTTTCAGGACAATCCTGCTACAAGTTTTGGTATTGGTGCAACTTTAGCTTTTTGAAATATTTAGACTTTTCTGCAATTATGTTTTCCTCATAGGAAATGAATTGAGCTCATTTTACATCCTTCAAATCTTTAGAGCTGTTTACAACCTTTTACTGCTCCTTTCACATTTTGTTCTGGTTCAGCTTCTTTCAGCTTCCTTATGCAAATTAAAACTTTTTTTCAGCTACTTTCAGCTAATATCAGCTGTTTTTTCAACTGTTTTGAACTCCTTTCAAGTTCTTTCTGCTAACTGCATTTTTGTGCTTCTACTTTCTTTCTGCTAATTCCAGCTTGTTATGCTCCTTTCAGCTTATTTCTGCCAGTTTCAGGTTTTAATGCTATTTCAGCTATTATTTAGCTGTTTTATGCTAATTTTAGCTTTTTCATCTTAGTCCACATTTTTTGCACTCATCTCTACTTTTTTCAGCCTATTTCAGCAAAAAATGTGCTCTCTCAACTTCCTTCTGGTAATTTCAGCTTTTTTCTACTTTTTAGCTACTTTTCAGCAGTTTTTTTCGTAACCAGTATTTTTTTTAGATAATTTCAACTCTTATGCTCAATTCTGCTTCTTTCAGCAAATGTGTGCTTTCTGCTTTTTTCTGCTAATTGAAGCTTGTTTTACCTTTTCAGCTACATTTTTTTAGCATTTTTTGCTAATTTCAGCTGTTTTCAGATAAATTCAAGTTTTGCATAGTAATTTCTGCTACTTTCAGCATAACTGATTTCTGCTTATTTCAGCTTGTTATGCTCCTATCAGCTTCTTTCTGCTAGTTTCAGCTTGTTTTTAGCTCTTTATGTTCTAAGTTTAGCTTTTTCAGGTAGTTCTACATTTTTATCTCATTTCAGCTCCTTTCACTTCCTTTTGGTAGTTTAAGCTTCTTTCTGCATTTTCAGCTACTTTTCAGCTATTATTTTTTTCTAAGTTCAGCTTTTTTAGGCTATTTCCTAAATTTTGTGGCATTTTCTGCTCATTTAAACCTAATTCAGCAATTATGTATTATTTCTGCTTTCTTTTGATAATTTTTTTTTCATTTTTCATTTAGCCTTTATTTATACAGGTTAGTCTCATTGAGCCATGAGAACTCATTTTCAAGAGAGACCTGTTTAGGGAGCACATGGTGGGGGTTAAGGGCCTTGCTCATGGGCCCAGAGTGGGGCGAATGAGGGTGGGGGCAAGTGTGGGTGTTTCACCTACCCCACCCACAATTTTGATGTTGTTGGGGCCGGGGCGTGAACCAGCGATCTTCGGATCAGAAGCCCACCTCTCTAACCTCTGCGCCACCACTCCCCGATTTAGGCTTGTTCTTCCATTTCAGCTACATTTCAGCATGTTTTTAGCTAATTTCAGCAGTTTTTCAACAAGTTTTTCAGCAATAAACATTCACACTGCATTTTCGCAAGAAATGCAATTTTCTAGTTTCCCTTTGGGATTAATGAAGTATTTTGGTGATTAACCTGTGTAAAAAAAGGTTGAATAAATTAATTTTTGAATTGAACTGAATTGTCAAATGGCATGAATCACCAAATGGATTTTAATGAAACTTTATGACCTGAATGTGCATCAAAACTTTAAAATCTGGAGTTAATAAATTCAATTCAATATGGTTTTTACAGACAAGACATGTTAGAAATCACAAAAAATGACTTCTGTCTAAAAAATAATTCTACTCATTAACTATTAATGTCAACTCAGTGTGTAAGACTTTTGTTTATAATTCTTGCATAAATTGTTGGCATCAACTAGACCTGGCGTGGGTAATCGGGAGGTTTTGGAGATTTCCCAGTGGGCCGGTCTGATGTGTGAGCTGCAGGGCCGTCACTCCCTGTTTTATTTTATTTTTTACAACTTTTTATTAACAACATATAAATACAGAACACCGCTACCACTGCTCCTGGGCTGCCAGCTGCCTCTACCCAGGGCTGGCGGCAGACGTCATTTTGTTTTTCTTTCTTTTTTCACGAGTCAGATCCACGATGTGACTAGTCAATCAATCCAGTAGGAGTGTCAGCAAATGACCAATCAACAACCTCAATTGGAAGGTAAACGGCAATCCGAAGTTAAACACCCCTTACCTGCAGAGCTAGGCTGCAGCCCATCAAGGGTTTCTTGGTGGACGCTTTGCAGTCAGAGTGGTTTTGTAAAAAATCATCAGAAAAAGTAAAGGTTAAACATTGTCAGTGGAGAATATGGAATCCAGACATGTGTTACCCTTAGCATTTAGAGGGTGGAATACAGTTTATTCCATTTGTAGAGGGATATGGGGTTGGATATATATTGTAAATTATCAGTTATGAGTTAAGCTCATAAGATATGCATTTATTATGCAAATAACCTCGTTGTGGGCACCACCTCTCTTTTTAGAGGAAAGATCAGTCTCTAACCCCAAACTAAATGTAAAATGAAACGTGAATTTTTTTCTCGTGTTTAAAGGGCATCAAATAAGTTAAGACACACAGATATGCCAAAATAATCACAAATTTAGTAGATTTTATGTATTTTGTTACAAAAATAATAATATGTGATATAGCTGATGAAGATTATGCATAACAAACAAATGAATAATGAATAGCTTTGTATCAAAGGTCTACTTGATTATTCAAATCAATGAAAGTTTAAAAAGGCAGATTTTTTGGACTGGTTCTGTTTGTGAAGTAATTACAATTGTGTCTAAATGAGCTGCAGTGTGTGTACAGCAAGATTATTGTGATGTATGATCACCAGAAAGGCATTAAAGGGTCTCTCTCACCAGAACGAGCTGTCAGAATGTTCCACAACTGCTTAAAATGATACCAGCAAGGCCTGAGATGCTCCGGTGACTGAATTCAATTCAATTCAATTCAGTTTATTTATATAGCGCCAAATCACAACAAAGTTGTCTCAGGGCACTTTACAGAAACATTCACATACATAAAAGCCAATTAGTAAAGTTCTCTATCTAAGGAATCCAGCAGACAAGTTGAATCTTGGCTTCATTGCAGACTCCCAACCTGAGCAATCACAGTGGCAACAGTGGAAAGAAAAAACTCCCTTTTAAAAGGAAGAAACCTCCAGCAGAACCAGGCTCAGGACAAGCATCCATCTGCTTTGACCGGCTGGTTGAGAGGACAGGAAGGAGAGACAGACGAACACAGAATGGTAGGTCCAGGTATAGGTCCAGGTGTATCTGAAAGACAAAAAAAAAAACACATGTTAAGGATAGAAAAAATAATTACTAATACAAAACAGGTTGAGCAGAGTAAGTAAAGACAGTAGCAGAGTGAAAAGTGTGGTCAGTTTGTCCTCCAGCAGTCTAAGCCTATAGCAGCATAACTAAGGGACAGCTCAGGAAACCCAAGCTGACCCTAACTATAGGATTTAGCAAAAAGGAAAGTCTTAAGCCTAGTTTTAAAACTGGATAATGTGTCAGCCTCACAGACAGAGATTGGAAGTTGGTTCCACAAGAGAGGAGCCTGATAACTGAAAGATCTGCCTCCCATTCTGTTTTTGTAAATTCTAGGAACCACAAGTAAACCTGCAGTCTGAGAGCGAAGTGCTCTGTTAGGAAAATATGGAACAATAAGATCTGTAATATAAGATGTAGCTAGGTTGTTGAGAGCTTTGTAGGTTAGAAGTAAGATTTTGAATTCTATTCTGGATTTGACAGGGAGCCAATGGAGAGAAGCTAAAACTGGAGAAATATGATCTCTCCTACTAACTCCAGTTAAGACTCTGGCAGCAGCATTTTGGATCAACTGAAGACGTTTTAAAGAAGTATTTGGACATCCAGATAATAAACCATTGCAATAGTCCAGTCTAGACGTGACAAATGCATGAACGAGTTTTTCTGCATCAATTTTAGATAAGATGTTTCTAATTTTAGTGATATTACGCAGGTGGAAGAAGGCAGTTCTAGTAACGTTTTTAATGTGGGGGATAAAAGACATGTCCTGATCAAAAATAACACCAAGATTTTTAACATTAGAGCTGGAGGACAGATTAATGCCATCTACGGATGGAGAAAGACTGAAAAGTTCATTCCTAACGTGCTCAGGTCCAAAAACCAAAACCTCAGTTTTGTCTGTGTTCAACAGGCGAAAATTAATGGTCATCCAGGTTTTTATGTCTTTAAGACATGCTTGTAGTCTAAGTAGCTGATTGGATTCATTGGGTTTAATGGACAAATATAATTGTGTGTCATCAGCATAACAATGAAAATTTATCCCATGCTGTTTAATAACTTTACCTAATGGAAGCATATATAAAGTAAAGAGTGTTGGCCCAAGCACTGAG